CGAGCCGCTGCATTCTGGATGAGCTGCAGAGGTTGGATGGCACATGCAGGTAGACCAGCCAGGAGGGAGTTGCGGTAGTCTAGGCGTGAGATGAAGAGAGCCTGGGCTAGAACCTGCGTTGCTTTCTGGGTCAGGAGGGGACGTATTCTCCTGATGTTGTAAAGTGTGTATCTGCAGCAGCGGGCTGTAGCAGCGATGTTTGCAGTGAAGGACAGTTTGTTATCTAGGGTCACACCCAGATTCCTTGCAGTCTGAGTCGGGGAAACAACAGAGGTGCCGATGTTGATTGTTAGGTCAAGAGTGGGACAATCTTTTCCCGGAAGGAAAAGCAGTTCAGTCTTGTCAAGGTTGAGCTTGAGGTGATGAGCAGACATCCACCGAGAGATGTCCGCTAGACAAGCAGAGATGCGTGCGACGACCTGGGTCTCTGAGCGGGGAAAGGACAGACCCTGACGTGCTCACTGTGCATTAGCTGGCCTATTACATGCTACCACTACCAAGTAAATCAGTACCTTGACAATAATGAAAGTAGCAAGCTTCTAAAAACCTTTACCGTTCATTTCGAAGCCTTTCACGTCATAGATCATTTAAATGCGCCCTAAAAAGGACACTGTTGAGGAAATGGTCACTCATTTGAACACAATGACAGCATCCTGCATCCTACATACATACAAACATACACACATAGATAAACACACAAACACACACACACAGATTCTCTTCACCACAGGTGGGGGTGATAGTGGCATGCCTTCCTGCCGGGAGCTGACAACTATTTCTCTCCCACGCACCTCTAATGGTGATGAAATCTGTAGACAACACAGTGTTTCTCTCACTACGACATTTTCGTCTGTTTTAAAATAAAGCACAATTAATACAGTTAACGTTATAGCTTGTTTTATGTGTCCTAATTGGATATTCACGTGCATACAATTGGGACGTTTCTATGCTTTTATTTTGTAACACTTATAAAGTATTAATTATGACATCAGCACCCGTGTTGCAAGCTGGCACCTAGCTTTCATACTTTGTCTCATTCTAAATTACGATGCATGTATTTGACCCAGCTTTATCAAGCTGTGTCCTGAAACTCCTAAATTCTTATTTTCTGTGACTTTGAACACATAAGCTGCCAACCACATGTGATGAGATTAGAACAACACTTGTTTCCAAAGTGACCGACGTCATCGTCGCCACAGTCTAGTAGACAGCACTCCGACAACAAAGGGAGACATTTGTGATGCCGTCAGGATCCAGTTCTGGGGTCCAGTTCTGCACGGGGGTCTGACGCCCTCTCCTGGCTAGCTCCAGATCTGCTCGCTGGCTCCGGGATGATGTCATTGTTTTCCGAGGCACTATTGTCCTCCGGTTCGGTTGATGGTCAGGAGTCGGGAGTTTTCCGTGCATGCTCAGTAGTTGCCGTATTGCGCCATGCAGTGCTTTGTCTGCACCTGTGGATGTGTGTGCTGAGGGGGGGGGGTCATCTGAGACACCCAGCAGACACAACTCCTGCCATGACTGATCCTGAGTAACACAACTTAACACACTGACACCCGCACAGGACAAAACACTGCATCAAGTGACGCATACCGTAGTATTCCTCATTTAGTCAAGAGGGGAAAAACTCTGCAGTCTCATGGAGACGTACACAACCATCCTGTTATAATCACAGCATTTTGAAAGGACTGTATCAGAGGCTGCGTTTCAGACTGAGATGTATTAAACCACACAACACCTGCATGTATTTATTTGCATCTGCCTCTGGCAAATACCAACCACAAAATAGTAAACCTAAACAGATTATTTCCAAAAACAGCCATTAAATAGTCCCTTAACATTCCTTAAAACTGTGTCATTACATCACCTCTGCGTCAGGACTGTGCAGGCGTGTGCAGATCATTCTTGAAAGGTGTCTCTTTTACTTTCCTGTTGCACTCTTCAGGACAACTTAAGCCTGCCAGGTATTTGGCCAGAGAACAATACTCAACTCACACACTGTTTACATTTGAGGTGTATGTCTTTAATTGATGGGCGTTGGACAACTGATTGAAATGAATCTACTTTATTCCTAATCTTGGGTTTAGTTTAGTCATATTTCTCCAATCATCTATCTGCTATGGCTGAGGTTGTTCACTCATGGTTGTTTTCCTACCGTAGCCCGGTGTAGACTTTTCTCACATCACATGATTTGACTTTCACAACCCCATTGTGGGTTATCAACCCCATTGATCGTGGTTGTATTATATTATTACAGGGCCTGGTCTTGTATTCATGCTGAATATCTGATTTGTCTTACTGGGACATTTACTGCATATTGAGTCATATGTTATATGTTTAGTATCACTCACGCTGTTCTTACGCACACAAGTCATCGGCTTGACCTGATGAGGAAAGATGCTTTATATAAATAGTTTTTCCAGTGTAACTTTTTTTATTATACATTGAGACACAGGTAAAATATTGTTTCTACCTCTTTTAAGATTGTACAGAACATCAAATACATAACTGTTTGTTTTGTTTTCAACCTTGGATAGAAGATGCCCCCAAAGCTTTTTTTATCAGAGTACAAAACACCACTTCACCTGCCTCAATGTACCTTCAGTTTCGACAGACAAATTGTATTTTTTTGTTTTTTATTAAAGTGTCCTCCAATATATGAACCCTGCGTGCCCCCCTGTGTTCCCCTCAGATCGAGGAGGAGCTGGTTTCCATCCAGAAGGAGAGGACCGACCGCATCAAGCACCTTCTGGAGCGGCAGGACCGCGAGACCGACGCCTTCGACATGGAGAGCATGAGGCTGGGCTTCGGCAACCTGTGCACCCTGGACCTCCCCAAGGACGACTACAGATGAGGGGCTGAGACCCCCCTGCAGCCGTCCCTCACTGCCGTCCCTCTCCTTCTACCTGACAGTGCAGGTGTTCACAGCTGCTGACGCCCTCACACAGACACAGAGAAAATACCCACTCCAGAATTCAGTGTGTTTTCCGGGGGGGGGGGCGCTCAGACAAAGTGGATGGCAGGTTTTATTGCCCCCCCCCTTTCCACCTCTTCCTCCCAAACCCACCTGAACTTCCTCCCCCTCCTTGCCTCTCGTGGTGTCACAAGATGACAAAAAAAAATATGCTGGATAACTTCCTGTAGTTGTCATGTTTTGTGTAAGAGAAATGATAACCTAGTCACGGTGTTTCTTGTTTCTTGTGCAATGATGACACTTTTGTTGTGACTTTAAAGTGGAAGACGAGAGAAGGAGGGAGAGAAAAACGAGGGCGGTCGGATGAGCGACATACACACACATGCATTTTGCAAAGTGGTCTTTTTTTTTTTTTTTTTGCTTAGTTCGATTTTTGGGGTCTCAAGTGATGCAAAAAAAGAAAAGCGCTAAATCAAACAGCTGATCCTTCCGCAGCCGTCAGTCTGCACCGCATCTTTCAACACTTTTTTGTATTTATTCACCTGGACATTTTTATGAGAAATTTGAATAATTTGATACGCGCATATCGTGTACATACAGGTACGCTCATTATAATTGTGACAGGTGAATTTCCTTACTGAGGGGAGCTTGAATCATGGTACTGGAACTGACTGATTTCTCTGCACTGGCAGCCAATGTGAATAATAATAATAATAAACTCCAACTCCCAGCTAGCACAAAGGGCTTCATGGGGTGGGCGGGGGGACTTGTACTTTGTGTATAGAAGGATTTATGGAGAGCTTTTACTTATTTTCGTATTGTATTTTAACTGTCACTCAAATCAAAAAAGAATTTTTAAAGCCGCTTTTTTCCCTCCCCCCTCCTCAGATAGTATTTGAGGTTCAGCCACGTATCAAACTGATTTTCTTTACCTTTTTTTTTTTGCTTTACACAACTCCCAAGCTGTGTATTTTCTTATAAACCAGACCAGTATGATGCTTTATTATTGCATGCACTTTAATTTTTTTTCCAGGTTAAAAGAAAGCATGAATCTGTCAGAGCTTTTAATTATATTTGTAAATAAAGTGCTCATCACACAAACTAAGGGTGTGCTGTTATATATATGCCTTAATATGAATTGCTCCTATGAATCATATTCACTGTGTATAACAGCAAAAAGATGATTGAAGATGATGTTTAAATGTTTTGCATTTCATCTTGACAACACGCATTACAGCTGAAGAGCTCTTATCTGAACACCTAACTGGAAACATGGTTGATCAAGTATTCATCACTTACACTGTGCAGTTTTATATAATCTACCTAAAGAAAACGTTTTATGAGTATGAAATCCAGCGGCAACTACTCCATTGTAATGTAGGCCTTGGCATCTTTTTTTTAAGATACAAATTAAATGAGCAAGAAAACGTGAGTCTGATTTCCAGCTACTGTATTGTAGGGCTGATAAATGCACAATGAGATATCAATACAGATATTAAGACCGGTTGTTAGGAAGAACAAAGTTCACCAAATGTTTGTCTGATAGCCGAGCTAAGGTCATGATGATTACTCATGACTGCATTACACTTAACTAATAACCTCTGCTGTTCCACAAAATGATTCCTGGAAGGTAAGTTATGATATATGACCTCAAGCTTGTGTGGACCAAACAGCAATGAAAGTAACCCCCTGGATTAAAGAGAAATAGGGGCCAAGACCTAAATGTAGGTCCTAGTTCCCCCAGCCCAAATGTGTGTATATTGTAACTGCTGACAAAAAACACTTGCCAAATGTAACCACCTCCAAAAAAGAAATCTATGCTCCTTGCTCTACCTACTGAGATATAAATAGAACACATTTTAAATGTAAACTATATTTCTAGTATATTATTAATACTAAGGTGTAATGTAGGATTCAAGTTGGCCGAACGGGTCTCTAAACATTGATCAGCCCTTACAGGATAATAAAACATTAGAAAGGATAACGCAACCATTTCACCGTTTAACAGTTTTATTGCAGAAGAGTGCAGTTAACGTCATTGAGTTTTTTGTCACAGCATTTGTAGGCATCAGTGGGAAGAGAAAAATACTTTAAGGTGGCACACAAAATGTTTGGTTCCTGTTTGTTTTTTTTTGCTCCTTGCAAGAATGGCAACTCGTATCGGAAATCTAAGTGCTGAACGCTATGGGGTCAAGTTTTTTTCATCTATTTCCCGGCCAGCTGCTCGTACAGCTTGGGGACGTAGTCGTCCCACTCTGCCTGGTAACAGGTCCCCGCCACCGGGGCTCCCAGGCTGTATTTCTGCCTGAAGCTCTGGATCTTGAACTTGCCACGGTTGTCTCCACAGCGGTTGGTGAGGGGGGGCTCGGAGCAGGACAGGCTGCCCGGCTGCTCGTACACCAGCCACACGTACCTGTGGAGCCCTGGGTGGGGGGCAAAGGTCCAGGTTTAAAATATTATGTTACAGTTCTGCCGGAAAATAATGTCCTAAAACAGTCAATTATTGATGCAAGGCTGCAGATACTGTTCAAGATTAACCATGGCGAAGGCTGTAGATGTGCCTCACTACAAAACCGGTTGCTACAGACATATCTTACATTATCTGTGGACATTTTTTTTTAATCTTAACATTACTTCTACACAAACAGACCAGTGGAAAGTAAAGTTTATTGCCCTGTGTCTGTAAGACTATTTTCAAGCAAAAGTCTTGATGTGTAGAGACATTTTGTTTTTTGAACTTCACCCCTTATATAGGACATTATAAAAGAGCTAATCCATCCAATAATGCGTTATTCAAACAGCAGGTTTAACAGGTCTTTCTGAAAACCGCCTTCATGCTAAAGCTTTTCTCTAAGCTTCCTTCTCTCTCACCTGTTCCCTTGGGAGGACCAGAGCCCACGTAGTCAGACAAGACGCAGCCAGAGGAAACATCATTCCCTTTCATGTTGACCACCAGAAAGTGATGCCACTCCCTAAAGTGAAAGACAAAAATACATATTTATGATTTCATTTCATTTGTATTTATTCCGTTCATGATATATGCACAACTTAATGTATAACAATTATTCACAAAACATATCGCTATAAACACACCATACCCAAAAAGGAGTAGGGAGAAGAAAATAATCTTATATTACCAGCCCCTTTCTCAACAAAAAAAAAAAATATATATAAATAAATAGATGGTCTGTCCTTCATATTTTCTTATTCACAGCCAATCATAACAGTATCGTAGGAAAATAAGAGAAGCACAAAAACGTACACAAAAATACTTATTTCCCACTTGACATGATGATCTAATAGTCCAGCAGCAAGTCCTCAAAAAAGGCTTTAGTTTTCGAGATACCCCTACCCGAGGTAGAACAAATGACAACAATGATTTTTCTTATCTTTAGGGTCTCCCATTAATGAAATTGATTGTTGTCAAATTTTATTTTGGGGGAAACAATGTTTTTTTGGTTGTTCTTTAGAACTACCCAAATCCCTGAAAAAGAGCCACATTAGACCAGGCCGAATGTGGGAAAGGTGACTGAAAAGCCTCTCTTATCCTCTTTAAATTAGCTGAGGTATGAACCAGGTGGCTGCCCTACATCACCAAATAGTCAGACAATTATTTAACTAAAACAATACTGAATTATAGTCCTGTAAACTTAGCTTTAGTTTAGACGGAAATTGTGCTTTTTGGTGATAGGAACTTAGGACTCAATCACTTTTCTCTCATTTATCAGAAAAACAGAGATCCCTAAAAAATATACCATTACTGAATTGTCTAGGGTGCTATTGAACACTAACCAGTAGTTGTTTGGACATATCTGGTACAGTTCTATTGCAAATGAGATTTCTTTAGACATAGGCCTACCTCTTCTCTGATACAGTCAAATTCCAAATGGGGGAGAAGTGGCACAATAGCCTATAAATTAAGAATGCTCACTGATGGTCATTATATTTGGAGAGGGAAATACCAGGTGGCTGAACTACATCACCAAATAGTCAGAATAAGAGTAACCCAATACAATAAAGT